ATATTCCAGACCGACTTCTTCATGGGCGCATAAAGGTTATTCCTTAGGACACGGTGACGGCAAAGAATTAGAATGCAATTTAGATATCCTCCACCAGGGGAACGTTAATTATGGTGAAAGCATCCCATAGATACTCATCAGTGGGAACCCATGAAACTAATGCATAAATAGCAACGTAGAACCAAAGTACAGAATTGGATGAAAAAGGTAATACACAGGATCATAACACACTTTTATATAAATTAGAAGTACACATATGCATATTAACAAAATAATATCACATGTTTTACTTTCATTTTTAACATATTTCTGGCACATTAGAATGCTGAAGTGAAAAAGAGAGAATTGAAAGGGGAAAATAAGCACAACACGCTAAGTAGGGGTCACCACAGACTAACGAGATCACTGTGCTCTGAGCACTCCTCTCCTAAGGCTGAAGAAAAAAAAAAGCCATGATGGGGGAATTGTAAAGTGCTCTGGGGCACATAAAATGGCATCTACTCATTTTCTGGATGGGGAGCCAGGGCAGCTTCCCTCGAGAAGGTAATACTTCAGGAAAAGCCCAGCTTGACTTAAGCAAGGAGAAAGAGGGCTTCATGAAGAGCAGGTCTGTTACTGATTACAGTGACAACTAGGCATGTTTGAGAAGCCTTTAGTTCAGAATTGCCGTGCAAGAGGCAGAGGCATGATTTGAGGTAAAAGAGCTCACTTGGTGCCAGGTCTAAGTTAGGTCACATATGGAGACCAGAAAGCCAGCTGTGGCCACACTGTGGACTAGCTGCTGGGTGCAGGGCAGAGAGGCCAGGCCAGATGCTGTGTGCTCTTCTAGGAGAGAGAGGTAGGGGTAGAGAGGCTGGGATGGAGGGAGACAGGAGAAAGATGAGATTGTCAGGTCATTGGAGCCTTCACCACTTCTACCTGGGGTTCTTGGGTGAAATTATTCACCTGAAGGCCCTGGGGCTTCACATGCCTGCCTGCACAGCTTGCATTTCAAGGCAATTGCTCCACTGATTTGTTTCATTTATTGAGCTGACAAAAAAATATGTATATATTTATCATGTACAACGTGATGTTTTGAAATGTGTATACATTGTAGAAGGGCTGAATTAAGCTAATTAACATATACATTTCCTCTTTTTTTGCCGTGAGACCACTTTTTTTCATTTGCCATGAATTTTAAAGTTCATCTGTGTGCTTACACAAGAATTTCATTCTTCCGTTCCATGGCTGAATAATATTGCATTGTATGTATATAACATATTTTGTCTATGCATCCATGGATGAACACTTATGTTCTCTTCACTATCGTTAACACGAACATTGGTAAACAAGTATCTCTTCAGATCCTTGCTTTCTATTCTTTTAGATATATACTCAGAAGCAGAATTGCTGGATCGTATGGTAATTTTGTTTAGTTTCTTGACAAACTGTCACACCGTCTTTCATAATGGCTGCACCATTTTATGTTTCTATTAACAGTGCCCCAAAGTTCCATTTTTCCCACCTTCTCACCAGCACTTAGTATATTCTGGGTTTGTTGTGGTTTTTTTTTTTTTAAGTAGCCATCCTAATGGGTGTCATGTGGTATCTCACTGTGGTTTAGATTTGCATTTCACTAACATCTATTCTTGTGCTTATTGGCCATTTGTATACTTACTTCTATTGAAGTCCTTTCCTTATTTTTAAATTGAGTTGTTTATTTTTGTTGTTGAGTTGTAGGGGTTCTTTATATATTCTGGATATTCATTATTAGATAACTAAGTGATTGGCAGATATTTTTTCCCATTCTCTGATTGCCTTTTCACCCTCTTGATAGTGTTCTTGAGTGCATAAAAATTGGGCAGGTAGGTTCATAAAACCATAACAATGTGTCTCCAGCTGACTTATTTGCTGGATCTGACACCATGCAGCTTCTGGTTCTTCCACAAAGTTGGAATGACCATGAAAAGTGAACATTTTGAATTGATCCAGGATATCAAGACAGCCATGATGATGCAGCTGAGGTGGATTAATATCAATGCATCTTTTACTGTACTAGTTTTTTGAAGTTTAAATACCCACTCTGTTTTTCAATCAGATCTCATATTGCTGATAAGGAAAAACTTCTCTACTTTTCTACCCAATGTCATGAATAAGGAAGCTAAAGAGTGCTGACAATTAAAAGAATTGAATGCTTTTTGTCCAAATAGGTGCCCTCAGGGACACATTTACCTAAGCAGAAGGTGAAGGGGGTGTATGTTTGGCTTTTAAGACACCACGAGGTTCAGATAGCAGAGGCAAATCACCTGTGGGGCTAGCGTTGAAATATTGGTGGCAAGGAATTTTCAGGCAGCTAAGACTGAGACAGTACTTTTAGTTTTTCCTTTGTGGTGTGCTTCTATGCAGCTATTTCTACAAAAAGGGCAAGAGTGATTCATATCTACCTTCCAGAAGTGCTAGGGATTTTCAGAAATACTGAAAGAATAGATCCAAGAAAAATGACTAAATTTATTTTTAGTCAAACACTTGGAGTCTTGAGAATCAACATGGTTTGAATGAATGTAATGTGACCTCAATTATCCTCACATTCTTGTGAAATTTAGGATGTACACCTTAAAAACATTTTGCTTAGGGATCAAGGAACATTCTATTATTTGATTACCATGGAAGATTATCTAGTATTATACTTTCAGAATTATTGTTCTAACTGGTTTCTGAATTTTCCATCTTTCCCTCTAGTGCTGTCAGTGTTTATGAGAGATCAAATTGCCTCTTTGAGTCAGGGATTCCTATAATTCTTTACCTTCTGGGATATGTCATTTTGATGATGGCTGCTTTGACATCCTTGTTCCTCAGAGTGTAGATAAGAGGGTTAAGCACTGGGGTGAGAATAGCATACACCACAGTGCCCATGATGTGGAAGTCGAGGGGTAGGTCAGCCCTGTAGGCCACATAGGCTACGGCAATGGATGAGTAGTAGGTGCCCACCACCAGGAGGTGGGAGCTGCAGGTAGAGAAGGCCTTTGAATGTCCTTCTTGGGATTTGATGCAAAACACTGAGGCCAGAGCGTGGGCATAGGAGAGAAGTACCAGGAGGAGGGGGAGGAAGGACACCACCATGGCAATGCAGAAGCCCATGAGGGTCTGGGGGGTGGTGTCAGAGCAGGAAGCCTGGACCAGAGCCAGGTGGTCACAGAAGCAGTGGTAGATGTAGGCAATGTTGTTATATGCCATCTTGGAGGTCTGTACCACTGCTGGGATGGGCAGGAGGAGGGCAGTGAGCCAGGCACTGGCTGCCAGCACAGCATTGGTCTGTGGGGTCATGTGGACCGGGTGGTGCAGTGGGCGGTAGATGGCTACATAGCGGTCATAGGCCATCACCACCAGGATGAAGGCTTCAGAGCAGGAGAAGCTATGGAAAAGGTACATCTGCAGGAAACACGCAGGGAAACTAAGGAGGCGGTCCCCAAACAGGAAGAGGGACAGCATCTTGGGGACAGTGGTTGTGGTGAAAAGGATGTCCAGTGCTGAGAGGTTAATTAGGAAAAAGAACACGGGCTTGTGGAGGCTGGGCTCTGCTACCACGGCCACCAGGATCAGGGTGTTACCCACAAGAATAAGCAGATAAAGAAGGAGAAAGAGGAAGAAGATAGGAAGGAAAAGGTGTGTTGGCGGAGAGGGGATGCCTGTGAGGTAGAAGGTGGTTGGGGATTTCTCTGATCCATTCCATGCTGTGGTCTCCATGGTAGGTTAAAACTAAATGCTCAGGAGAAGGGTGGTAGAACATCTGGAAAGCAGGCTCATCTGAAACAGAACAACCAGAGTTTGGAATGATAATTGCATAGTGATCACTGCAGAACTAATGTAACCACGTTAATCTACAAGCAATTCTAAAGGACGGATAACAGGATCTGTCCAACCCCCAAATTCATCATCTTACCCTCCAATTCCATTTCCTTTTTAAGTCAATTTTAAAGAAAATACCTACAATATACAAACCATGTGTTATTTTTTGAGTATAGAGCAGACAAGATGAATAAGATGAAAAAGGTTTCTAACCCCATGGGGCTGAAATTCTAGTCGTTAAAAAAAAAAAGACAGTAAGAAATGAATTCACAGAATTATTTAATTGAAATTGTGTTAAGTGCTAGGCAAGAAGTTCTGTGGGTTCTTCTTTCTATGTATTACATGATCCTCTTGGAGATACCAGATCTTTAATTTTCTTTCTCTTTTGAATATGCTGAAGTTTTTTTTTACAAAATGACATCTTTGTCACCATGCAGCTAGGGAAGGCTGATTTCTCCAAGGCTTACTACAACATGCTGACTTCCCTCTCCAGTAATTAATCAGGGACTGGCTCCTTTCTCTCGTTTGTTTGGTGTAGTGCTTCTGCTTTCTCCATCCAAGTTGAATACTCTGTATCCTGTCTCTGCATGTGGTGCTGTTTGTCATCATTACGGAGAAGCGAGTGACACTGAAAATGTTTGAGGCAGGAAGAATCATTCCTGACAGGGTTCCCATTAATGGCCTCTTCCCATGATTCTGCAGCAACAGAGAATCCAACACACTGTGTGTGATTCCATTCAGTGCCCTGCCTGGTGCTCCTGGAGCTCAGCATGTGCCTCTGTGTGACCACTGCTGCCCACTCCCATCGTCTCCTTTGTCCCCAGGTCAGAAGGTGTCTCGGTGTTCTGGGAAGGCTTGGGAGGCACTATTGGTGGAGATAAACTGGAGATCAGCTCTAAAGCAAAAGAACTCCTCTCAGGGGAGTCAGAAATGAGTATTTCAACCCAGAGCTTGGGGGTTTTGAGCTGAAGGAAAGCACAATACTAATTCATTGTGTATTTTAGGCTTGTCCTTTGGACTATATGACAGTCTGTGATAACACTGGTATAGGGCTTCCTTAACCCTGATGATTCCATGAGCAGTTTCCCCTTACTTTCCTTAGAATGACTTGTTATTTTCTTCTCAAAAAATCTCATGTAAAACCAACAATATAAAATCAAACCAACTAACCAGCAAACAAACAAACACTGTTTCTAGGCCAGAAAGGGCAGAGTCTTTCTAAAGTGCCACATTCAGCTAACGGCACAACCAGAAAGGCTGTGTCAGGCCTCTGAGTCCCAGGATGAGCTCTTTTCTTCTACACATCTTTCCCACAGGATCCAAAAGTTCAGATTTTCAAGGGGAAAATGTTAGGACAAGTGTGTCTATTTTCCTTTTCCATTGATAATATCAGACAAAACTGAATTTCAATTTTTTACCCAGGTCTCTCTATGGTAGATACTAAACTGGTATCTGCAAATGAAAATGCCTTCCTGAAAAAAAATGTTCAAGAACTGAAAAAAGACTGAGCTTGCTTTGTCCCAAATTGACAGGCTATCCCGCAGCCAGAAGCCATCCCAACAAATAGCACAGCCAGCATTTCTTCACACTCGTAAGGACGCGAACCTCACCACCCAGGACAGTCAGGCTCAGAGAGACCATCAGGCACCACTACCCCCCAGGTAAGGCTGAGTTCGGGGTAGGGGCTGGAAGGATAGGCACACAGAGAATCAAAACCAAAGGGGCCCTCAGAGGCCACCAGTGTATCTGCCCTCCCTTCCTCCTTTGTCCACTGCTTTATAGATGGAAACACGGATGGTGAGAGCCTGCTGGCTGGGTGTCTTGTGGCTTTCCATAGCCCAGTGGTCATGGACTATGTAACAAGCTCCCAGGCTTGGGACACCTGCAAAGCAGGGGTATCAAAACTTCTGAAAAGCTCTGAAAGAATTTAACATTTGATATTAATTTTTGAAAGAATTTAACATTTGATATTCCAAAGCACTAGTGTATTATAGGAAACATCAGAATTTGCTGGAGTTTCCTATGCTTATATCACAGGCTATGATGGCTATCATCTACATTGTATGTGCCTCTGAATAAAATGCAGCCCTGTATTTAGGGCCAGTGTAACACTGTAACCCCGTGCACACAACTTGCCCCAGCAGATCTCTGTAAGGATTGTCTTGGAGCTGGTTATAGTGTTAGTGAAGGGGAGAAAAGGACAGAAAAACTAGTTCCCTGAAAGTACCAACTTATTGTATGCATCTCATTTTTGCTCATCACATCGCCCTTGCAGGGAGAGGTTGTGCCTCTTCAACAAATGAAGAAACTGAGGGACAGACAAGGGAGGACAGGCCCATGTCACAAGCCATAAATGCAGAGAGATGAGGCAGAGGTAGCTCCTGGAGACTACCTGGTGCAAAGAACTGAGACCCACCTGGCAACCAAGATTGTTGGTTCTTAGACCGACACTGCCACACCCTTCCTGTGACTATGAGACTCTGAGCCTGAGCCCCTATGCCATTTTTTATGGTGAGAAGATTGAGGGAAAATGTCTTAAGGGTTTACAGTTCAACAAACTATTTTCTGCATGACCCCTCTGCTTTTGGCAGAATGAGAGATTCAGAGCTGGGTGCTGAATGGAGAGAGAGAAGGCTCTTCCACTGAGTGAGCTCTTACTGCAGGCCGTGTTCTCTAGTCTCAGTATGCCTCGGGGATGATAGTGGTTAAGTGGACTTGGGAGTTAGAATGGACTATTCCTGTCCCTGCTCCACTTCAAGCTACGTGTCCTTGAGTAGGTCACTTTTTGAGCCGGATTTCCCTCATCTGTGCTATTGCAGGATTTTCTTTCAGAAGGGAATGCTTAGAGAGTGCTACAAAGAGCATGGTACTTGTTAGAGCTGAGGGTTTGCTAGTTTCTGCTGCCATCAACCTTGTCTTTTTGTGGGAAGGCCTTGGCCAAGATGATTTGAATTCCACCCGTGAGCACGCCACCCGGCCCTGACCTGTCAGGACACCTGGCCAAAGCTCTCACAGCTCATGCACGCACAGCCATTCTGGATTCTGGGTGCTTGCCTCTGTGGACATCCACTCTGTCTTTCTGATCTGTGGCCCACTTTTGTAGCACCTGAACGTCGGTCTCTGTCCCTCTATCCCAGCTTTCTCTGCTACCTCTAGGGACTCTGTCCCCAGAATCACTCACCCGTTGAGCTTGGTCCACACTAGGATCCCCTGCATTTCTCCAGGAGAAACCTTGTGGATGTGGCAGGTTCAGGCTGAGTCATGGCCCATTAAACCCTGAGGCTCCTCCTTTCAGGCAGGTCTCCTGAGGTTCTTTCCCTCTAAAAGCTGTCCCTTGGCATCACACTCACCATCCCTCAAGGATCATTCGATGACATCTCCTATGGCACCTATGTGAGGAGGGAGGTAAGATTTGTTCCTGTGCTTTGCTGATAATGAGAAGATCATTGTTAACATCCCTCAAGGGCCCAGGGGTTCACGCTAATGGTTTAGCCTCCATTCTCATTTTCCCATCTGATCCTCACAATCCCAGAGGACATGGGAGGTAACAACAGGGTATATAGGAAGTCCAAGAGAAAGAAAACAATGCCTAGCGAGTGAACTAACATTCCCATTTGAACACTGGTGGCTGGAGGCAGAGGTAACATTCAGGCACAGAGCTCTCTTGCCTGCCCAGTGCCTTGGTATATACATACCAGGAAGACATAGTAGTCAAGGGGATGGGGTGTGGGGCTCTAACATATCAATAATCCTCCTGTATTGTTTTCCTGGTTTTCTAGTAACTTTTAGAGTTGCACACAGAAATACTATGTTCTCCAGAGAAGGTTCTGGTTTCAGAAATAGTTCTTGTTTCTCCCTGTTTCTTTTTTCTGGACAGTTCTATTAGTTGTACCTTCCTTTGACTGTTGCGTCAGTGACACAGGAAGCTCCCAAAGTTCTGGTGTATTTTCAGCGTCTGGTCAGCTACATGACTATTCCACTCCTGGTAGATTTATTCTACTATTAAGAATTGAAATACATAAATCAGTAGAATCCAACATGAGGAAAAAGAAACAAATACATCGGGACCACTGTATAATTTGGCCAGAGAAGAAATTGTTCTATATTTTGCTTTCGGTTAAGAGTGTGTATTTCAACTTGCAAGGCAGGACTTAAACTCTAGGAGGTATCATCCAGCCAGCATCTAAAACTTAGTCTTCAACAGGTTATTCCTCCATTCCTTCAGGCTAGTTTCCTCTGAGAGATTTGAATTACATTGTAAGCTTAGTGACTCCTAAGCATATGAAACTCTGTACTTTCACTTCTTTTTGCTGTAAGTTGAGCACCTTTGTCAAAATCAAGGTCATATGTGATATTATCATGGTAAATAAGGTATTAAATACACACAGAGTGATATTTATAGAAAACATTGTGAGCCCAAAAGGCAAATTCATATGTAGAAAAGATTTCTATTCTAATAAAACCAAACTAGTATGCCCTAGATGAAGAATAAGACCCAGTATAACTAACCTACCACACATACCTGGCCAGTTTCCTTGAGTAATGAGCCATATCATGGGCTTAGTGTTAGTCTTCATTGATAGCACATTGTGTGCTGAGGAGAAGTCAAACCCAGTTAACTCTGATGAACCCATATACAACCTCTACCTATGCCATCATGGCCCCTCCCCTTTTCTTAATAAATCTACTGAGCAAACACTGGGTGGGTTGGGAAAGAATATGAATGAAATACATGGGATGGATCATCTGATCTACCTGATTTTGCTTGCTCTTGCTGATTTTGGAGCTTTATCTATCATAAATACCTTTGGTAAATAGTCATATGGGGCATAAAAATCTTTACAATTTGTACCCATTAGAAAAGCACCTTACTTGTTTTCCAAATTTCCTCTCAACTT